TTTTCATGATCACTAGGTAATTTTTCTGATGATCATTATAATTTTTAACTAAATTATTTCAGATTTTTACATTTAAACTAGTTTTGATTATAGGAAAAGATATTTATCATAACAAGTAAGCATAACACATGAACCAATTTTAACATTCAAGTAATTATATGATTAAAGGCATGTTGAGTACATTCTGTTTGTATTGGCAAATACATTGCTACTAGTGATTGCTATGTAGCACACCTTGCATTTACTTACAGCAGATAATAGTCTAGTGAAATGCCTAATAAACATTAATGGCATTAAGCTGTCTTTAATTGCAAATTTTCACTTTGATAATTTTTGCTTAATCTTTGTCAGAAAAAAATTTTAGTTTTTTCTCAAAAGGTAATTTGCTGGCATTGTATGTGGAGATGTGTAAAGGGTTACAATAAACTTGCATAGTTTGAAGTCTGAGCTTTTCTATATCTATGAACTGTCACTTGTAGTACCAAATTTCTAACTTAACTCATTACATAGAGGTTTGAATGGGGGTTTCTTGGGGGGTCTATGCCTTACAACTTGGTAGAAATTTTTAAAGACAATATCTTTTTTGGAATAGCATTATTGTAAAATAAATTTGACGTTCCTAGACATGCTAACGAGCCATATATTTGGCATGATAATGAGCCTAAATATTTGGCAAAACACTCAAGTATTGTTCACTTCAGTTTTTTTGAAAAAAACGTAAGCAAAATGTGTTGTTTTTACGAAAAAACGATGCCAAAAAATACATTTTGTATTGCTCTAAAACGCTGAAGATGGCATTTCCAAGCTCTGAAATTTAAAATTTGTCAGGAGAGAATGCCTCAGAGCCCACCAGATGCGGAGCGCCTCCGACGTTTTATGACTGACGTTTGAAAAATCCTAGATCCACCCCTTATAGGGTGTATCAAAAAACTGCTTATCTTTATAATCAGCTGACACTTAGAATTTGTATGATTCAGCAGTAGCTGATTCTCAAAGACCTGAAAGTCAATACACTAATACATACATCTATGTATGCTGCTGCAAATTGCAAATCCCTTTCTTTATGCAAACCATAAATGAAAAAGTCAATAATGAATGAAATTGTTCAAACATCAAGGAAACTACCGTATATTGTTTTACTTTATTGTTTTGTGAAACTAATGTGCTGGTTAATCTTCTAATGGAATGACTGACAGATGTATATTTTCCAAAATTGCAACCATCAGAGTTGTCTCGAGAATGCAAATTGGTTAGGATGTGTGCTCTTCACAAGTTTACTTTTGCCCCACCAGTTTCCTTTTTACAGTAAAATGCTTACTTCTTTAAATGAATTGCTTTCAAAAGAAACCCCTTGGGCATAAGTGAAAATGTGAATAAATAAGTACCCCATTAATGTCCAGGATGGCACTGATAACCATCAAATCAAACGTTAGCAGAGGTAGCATAGCATAACAAGCTTGCAACTTTTACTCTTGCAATGTAAATTTTCAAATTTTATCGATATGCACTTCTTTTGTAATGTATCTTTTGCGCAGTGGATATGCTGTATAAGTCAGCCCAATGCCATAAGATATCCTACGCTTAGAAATATAAAGATCATAGACAAAGAAACAATAACTATGAGCCTCGTGAAGTCTATAAAACCAAGAGAATTAATACCATTATTGACAATACAATATCAAACAAAATAAATCGTCGTCCTTTTTTCCCTCGAACCCTTATTTTTACACTATTCGGAATCAAAGATAGAAGGAATGGCTGAACTATGTCCACAAGAGTTTGAAGGTCAAAACGCTGGTATAGACCCACTAAACTTGATATACATCAAAAGATCATCCAACTTTTCTGTACTACGAAATGCTCACAACCACGAATTTGTACCTTCCTTATTATTGCTAATACAATGTCCCTTGCTCCTAAAATTAACGAGACTGTGAATACCATATTGATGTCAGACACTGATATTGCTATGTTTACAGACTTGGTTAAAGAAATCGACTTGAAACGCAGCAATGAGCACTTTTAATTATCAACTACTAAGAAAGGATGGAGTTCAAAATTTGCACGGAAGTGTTTGCTTATACGTAAAGTCGTCAATATTCTGCCGTCAACTTTCAGATATGCAAAGTGAAGAAGTAGAAGTATTGTGGGCTATGCTTCGCCTTCACCGTTCACCTAGAGGATTTCATCAAATTATAGTTAGTGTAGTCTATCTTCCCCCGGGAGAAGATAAAGATCGAATGATCTCACACATACAAAATACATTGGAAAGTTTTGCGTCATCTTTCCCAATAGTGCAATTATTATTGCCGGTGATTTCAATAAATTAAAATTGAAGCGCACCGTAAAATTATTCCATCTAAAGCCAAAGGTCAGTTTCCCAACCCGAGGACCTAATACTCTTGATCAGATTTTTTCAAACTTAAATAAGTATTATAACCTACCGACTAGTGCGCCACCATTTGGTTTCTCGGATCATGTGACAATTAAAGTCAAATCAAAAGAACGTACCGTTTCTTGGCAATCTCAGTCAATAGTTATAAAAGTTATAAACGACAAAGTAAAAAGGTTCGTCTTGGCAGATTTTTAATTGCTGTCCCATGGTCCCATATGCTATCCAACGAATATACATGTGACCAGAATATCGAAATAATGACTGATATCGTTAACTAGGGACTAAATAAAATAATGCCCCAACGTTCCCTCAAGGTTCATAAAAATGATCGTCCATGGATGACTAGACATCTAAAGACACTGATCTCTAGACGCCAAAGAGCATTTGCGTTCGGAAACGCTGCCTTATTTAAAGTTCTTCGAAACAAGGTTAACAAAGAAAGGAAAAGCATTCGAAAAGTATATTGTAAGTCTAAAGTTGAAAACCTTAGAAATGTAAAACCTAATATGTGGTGGCAAGAGGTCAAACAACTGCGTGGAAACTATAAATTTAACCACAAAAAAACTTGAGGACATGTTATCTACAGATTCAGATAACGATGAAAAAATTTTATGAGATAAAATCAACGAATCGTTTATAAATGTCATCATCAGAGAATATATATAATATATTAATCCTAACACGGTTTTAATATGCACATGAAAAACATGTGACTTGGATGAGATTTGAACTCGCCCCTTCGGGATACTAGTCCACCGCTCTACCTGTTGAGCTACCAAGCCCACAGGGATTGGAGACGAGTCAAATCTCTTTTAAACTGCGTATGGACGAAAGATTCTCGCCATCCAGTAAATTGCTATAGTGATTGTCACATGTTTTTTGTATAAATGTGATGCAGGAATATTCTCCGCTATCTCCTGATGAAAATGTGTCTATGGATGAGAACGACCAGTTCATCGAAGTCGACGAAATCGAGGTTGTTGAAAAGTTAAGAAGAATTAGTCGCTCAAAGGCCGGCGGTCCTGATGGTCTCCTTAATTGGATGCTGAAAGACTATGCAGATATTCACACTTTACCAATCACACTAATTTTAAATGTTTCTTTCCGAAACTGTGTAGTTCCTAGGATGTGGAAAATTGCCTGTCTAGGACCATGGCTATTTTTAGCAATGATCAATGACTTACAAATATCTGCAAAAAAAGAATCACTAAAGTAGAAATTTGCAGATGACACCACTACTTCAGAACTAATTTCATATGATCGGGAAACTTAACTACAACAAGAAATAAACCCCATTGCTATGTGGTTAAAAAAAACAACTTACCCTTAATCCAAAGAAATGTAAAGAAATGATCGTTTGTTACAGAAAAATTACACCAACGTTTGATGAAATCATAATCGATGATCAACCTTTCGAAAGAGTTTAAAATGTTAAAATTATTGGACTCACAATAATAAATGATTTGAAATGGACCGACCACATAAATGTTATCACTAAAAAGGCATTAAAACGACTATACTTCATTAAGCAGTTAAAACGGGCTGATGTACATAAAAAAGACCTTGTTTATTCTTACTGCGCTATAATAGGATCAATTCTTGAGTACTCCTGCCAAGAATTTCAGTCTGCTCTACCAAAATTTCTATCTGATGATTTAGAGCGCATACAAAAGAGATCCATGGGCATAATATTTCCTGGACTACATTATAAAGATGCATTAACAACAGCTTATATTCCGACCCTATTCGACAGATGTGAATCTCTCAGTAGGAGATTCTTTAATGATATAGTGAAGGATAAGAATCACAAACTTTACAATTTATCACCTTAAAGAACTGATGGCATGTATAATCAGCTAAGGACAAATAAAACATTTTATGCAACTAAGTATTGCACAAATCGTTTTAAAAACTCTTTTATTCCAAAATTCTTAAACGAACATATCTCTTAAATTTTAGGTTGCCCATACGTTGTACATTCGATCTGCTTATGTACTATATCTTTTATTTAATCTTTATTCAAGTTTTACTATTATTAATCTTAATGCTTGTAAATAACTGTATTATTGTAAGTATATATAATGATGGCGTATTATAAATGTAATTCAGTTTTAAAAACTGCAAGATGTATTCATATTAAACAATTTTTTGATTTGATTTGATTTTTTGGAGTTAGTAATTGACTTGGAATGGTGAAATTCCTGCAAATGGTGAAATTGGCTCTCAATCATTGGGATCACTTACGAACCCGAGCTCCAAGTTAGTCAAATGTAAACTGGCAACAACCTTCCATATGGATCTCACCTTCCACACACGTAAGTACATTTAGTGACAACCGATATTAATTCCACGTTTTACCCTCTATTCCGCTTCCGCAATTTTTCTTCCTCCATTCCGCTTCCGTCATTCTGCCATTCGTTTCCGCGTTTCATCCCTACCCAATTGTTTGGTTATATATCATCAAAAAAGTTAAAGAGGAGATTTTGAGTGTGGAATCAGACCAATGCAAAAGTGGTGTTTGAGTGTACATGATGCGGTCTACTGGAGAGCTTTTGTTGCAATCTGTCTGCCGTCAAGTGGTCTTTATGAATTGAGCTGAGCATTGCACGCTTTTTTATCGTTTTTATTTTGTTCAGCATGTTCAATGCTTTGTTGCTAAAACTAAATGTTCAACATTAAAAAATATAAAGGTATATGTAAGAAATCAATTAATGCGGAGTTTTTTGAAATTTTTTACGGGGATTTTCAACGATAACCAATGACAAAGAATCCACTGAACGTAACTTCATGTTTTGCTTTTCCATCCCGATGTGCAATGCTTTTGCTGCTCTTGTTTGATGGTGTTTCTGCGTCTTTCAAATTTACTGTAACTTGAACTAAAGCACAAAAAGATGCAAAAATAATTCGCCCTGCTTATCTATTTAAACATAACGTAGTAAACACTTGACAATGAAAGACACGTCAGTGACGCTTGCACTCACATATAATAAAGAAGAACTAATTAATTCAGTAAATAACTCCACCTTTTGACTCATGGCTTTGCAGCCTTCGCCATATGCAGCCTTTCGGAGCGATTATTTTAGAACAGTGATACCTTAAGGACAGCAGCTACTGTATAAATGTATATAATGTATAATATTTACTCAACCACTTACACTGATCTTTAAACACTGGTAGCCAAATGTTGGCAGAATTGAGAGAGACATCGTGGCTTGCAGCAACGTTCATGTATTGACGATAGGATTTTTTGCCATCTTTTGTCTCAATCTGATAATAATAACGGTGAAATGCTTCGTCGCCTTTTGTTGTTGCCCAAAGATAAACAAGAACTTCTTTGGCTGTCTCGGGGACGTTAGCGTCTTTCAGCTCGTAAATATTGGCGTCTCCTGCCATATCCGGTAACTCACCAAAACTCTTCGCGAGCGGTGTATATGCCATATTTACGAACTAAATGTTAAACAGTTCACAATATAATTTGAAAGAACAGTTTTAATCTTCATTATCAGTAAGTTTAGTTTTGCCAAAGAACGAATAAAACATACACGCCTTGGCCAAGGTCAGTTGGTGCAACAAATCCGTCTTTGAGACATTCGGTGTAAAATGCTTTTACTTGCATTGTGGTGTTTCAAAGATACTGGTTTCTTTCATTGATGTAATTTTTCAATTAATCGCTGAATAAAAACTCAATTGAACAAAGTTGCGCAACCTAACATTTACCGAAAAATCTCATTGCACGTATTTCTTTTGTTGACACATTGCACGTTTTCCTTTTGTTGACACATTGCACGTTTTCCTTTTGTTGACACATTGCACATTCCTTCCATTCACATTCCATTCCTTTGTTCCATTCCATTCCATTCCATTCCTTCCATTCCTTTTCATTCCATTCCATTCCATTCCATTCCTTCCATTCCATTCCATTCCATTCCATTCCATTCCATTCCATTCCATTCCTTCCATTCCATTCCATTCCATTCCTTTCCATTCCATTCCATTTTCCATTCCATTCCATTCCATTTTTTTTTGTTGTTCCCATTATTCCATTTTATTTTTCCATTCCTTCCATTGCATTTTCCTTTTTTTCATGTTTTCGATTCAATTTTCGTTGACTATCAAACAGTATTCGTGAGTGATTTCTTAGTTGCTGCGTTGATACATACACCAATGAGCAATGAGTCAATGATTTATATAATTGACATGCGCCCATATATAAAATCGGAGGTTTGTAAGTATGGCGGGGGCTGGGTTGAAAGTCCTGTTCTTTTGATGACGTACGTTATTAATTTAAGGGTCTATGAAATGAAAATTTGCCAAAAATTATTTTGTCGGATTGAAAGACCAAGTTGTACTGATCAATACGCAAAATCCAAATTTTGATTCGGATGAATGTAACTGATTTCATAATGTATTAAACATGGTATTTTTAGGCCATTTTAAAATTTTACCAGAAGAAAGAGAGGTACAGAGAATTTCGACTTTGTGACGTATGCAGTGTGACATATTGGAGAGTACTTGCACAAAATATATTTACATTGTGAGAGAATAAGGTATTTTATTGGCTTCAACACGTACAAAATGTGGGATATAGAAGCACAAAATTATTCTGTTGTTCAGCCGTATCAGTTGTATATACAACGGTTGAATGTCCTTTAACTTTCCTCTCTCATTTTTACCTCGAATGCTTTATACGCAACGATTCAAAATAAGAGGTTTCTCCTTTTTTAACTTTGCACTTGGTTATTGTCATGAGATTATTGAGTTTGCCTGCAATTATTTCATACTAATAATTGCAAATAGCTATCCAAGCCCTCTTATTGTTTAAGTAGAAAAAGCAATATATACTCGCTGCCACTATACTAAAACTTCAATGAAGTAGCCTTATATGTTCCCTGTACTGCCATTATGCGTTTTTGAATTCATGCTTTTGGGAAATCTATTGCAATAACTAATATTTTTGAGGATTATGGAATATTGGGAATTTAATTCCGGCATTAAAGCCTGGTTGACACATGACTGAGACTTGACAGAGGCATACCGGAGATGATGCCTGCGTTGCTCTTAAGGGAAATATGAACACTCATCGCTGACACACTAATGGTGTTCCAGGTACACGCGTAAAAATTGATCAGGTTGTTGCAACATTGTTTGTTGAGCAACGTATGATCAGCGTTGTTATCATGACTCAGTAACAATGTTAAATTATCAATTGTTAACAATATTGATCCAACAAAATTGTTGACGATTGCCAAACGATCAACCTTGTTGCACTATGTTGGAACAATATTTGAACATGGTTTATAGAACAAGCCTGCTTACTGTGGTTAGAACAATATTGTTGCAGCCTTGTTCATTCAACAATCGTGAACAACATTGTCATAACAGGCACGAACAACAGTGATGAAAGAACAAGTTGTTTTTGATTGCTCCAACAATTAATATTAGCAAATTAATAACAGCATTGTCGAATGATGTTCAATGAAAAATATTGGAAACGGAGATGCGCGTTCAACTTTGCCCTATGTTAATATAATTCTGGCTAGCTTTTTAGATTCAAAAATTTTTTATTTCACATGATTTTTGAAATTCATTCTATACTCAAATACATTGTTAAAACATAACATACCTGCATTGTTTTAATAATTTATCTAAAGATGTGCTGCAAAACATAATTGAGATGACTTCACGCGACTGCAGCCATAAACTTTCAATCACTAAGCACAAATGAGCAGTCGAGATACCAAATGACCAAAATCTAGCAAGTTTAATTTTTTGAATGATGACATTGCATTTTGATTCGATTTCACACTCATAGTTTAGTATTGCTTCAAAATAACTTCTCTCAGAACCAATAGTTAGAAAACATTGAGTAGTAATTGATTTTGAAAACAACATGTAATATTTTTCAAAGAAAGCAACAAATGTTCAAAGCAGCATTACCACTACGATGGTTTGATTACAGGCAAGCGCAGCAGCTACCCACATAACTTTATATCAGTTAGAACTGAGACGTCCGACAATTTGCTCGTTTTATCTTTGCAAAAGACAATTTCTTCGTCGAAGACGATTTTTCTGTCTCCTAAAATATGAAATTGGTAATGGAAACCCTTGAAATACGATGTTTGCAGAGTTATTAATTTAGATCACAAGTCATGTGTTTGTTGTTTCATTTTATTATCAATATCGTAATACTAAGACTTTAGCTTTTTCACGAATAAGTCCTTAAGTTGACAACTTTACATTTATTCTAAAATATGCAGTCAGTCGTTTTGAAACTATTTGCAATATTTCTTGTTTTCATGGTTACATTATTTGTTTTATCTTGATTTAATTTATTTCAATGCAATTGCTACAATTTGGTGTTAGCATAAAACTATTACAATAAACTCTAATTGGGATGCAATGAATGTCATAGTTTGTTTTACTTTGGCAATATTTCACCAATTTGATGATATTGCGTATAGCACTTCAAAATGTTTTTTTCTTTCCTGCTGTCATGAACGTGCTTTTTAAGTCTTGTTACAATCATGCGTTCTTTGAATAAATTATTTCTTTTATCAAAGTCATTAGTATTGTATCAAATGTATGATAGTGTCCTGGCCATAGTCAACAGAAGTACGTTAGTCAATATTTATATACTGACAATTGGCATTATATGTTTAATGATCTTATTTTACTTTGGAAAAAGAAAACAAACACGATGAATATCTCGTAATATTTTTTGATTAGATCAAATTCAAATCAGTAAGTGCGTGCAGTTACATTGTTCTAACGTTCGAGACGCTCAAGTTTGTTGTGAATGCTTCTAAGACAGGTGAAAGTTGATGCTATTTTAAAAACGTTTGTGGTTAAAACACCATTTTGTGTTTGTTATAGATTATACGTTTTGCAAGTAACAATATTTATTTGTTCAAGGCATGAAAAAGAAAATTTGAGAATCACGTAGGCGTGAATTTATCTATATTTTGCGACAATAAAATCATCTGCGTTAACTTTATCTACTTCGTTATATGAAATGCTTTAATATTTTAATTTGGTCGTTCAAGATCATTGTCGTATGTTCAAAAGCAATTTTTTTACTTTGCACAAAAACTACTACAAGTATTTCAATAATACTTTATAAAAGACAAACTGCGTTTCTTCTAATTGGTCGTCAAGGTTAACATGAAATCGATATGAATTCAACAACATACGAGAAAGAGTTTGGCAAGTGTATTCTTGTAAAAGGGTCTAGAGACGCTGTGGTAAAATACAAAAATCAATCATATGTTGTGAATCAAATCGTTTTATGCATTTTCCACCTTTTTCTTACTTTTCTAACAACAGGTTTGAATGGTGTAGCAATATTTACTATAAGCAACTCTCCCAGCTTAAAAAGAATTCTTTGTTACTTTTTAGTAATGCTTCAATCCTGGTGTGATTTGATAACAGGGCTATTTAGTCCATTAGTGTTCGGATTTTTTTTCGCTAGTGAGGTTTTACAGGTTGGTGCATGTCAAGTTTGGTTCTATGGCCTGGCTTTAGCTGCTGCTCCCGCAGGAATATCTTTTTCGATGATGGTTGCTTTATGTTTTGAGAGATATATGAGCATCGTGTATCCAATTATCCATCGAAACAAACTTAAACAAGAACACGCTTTAAAATATCTATTAGCAAATATAGTTATTTACACTATTACAACACTGTCGACCCCATTTTGGACATCCATTTTTTTCATAACCACTCCATTCTACAGATTTTTCTTACTTGTAATTATTGGCTATTTTTACATAAGGATCTATCAAAGTAGTAAAAAATGGTTTCGAAAAAGGAGGAAAAACGTTGGACTGGTTGATACACAAAATGTCCAAAATAATGTTACCAAATATAAAACTATTCGAGAATTGATGATTAGAAAGAAATTGGCAAAAACCTGTTTTATGACTTGCGTTGCATATGTCTTGTGTTATCTACCACTGGTTCTTATTGCTTTGGCAACATTTGTAAATGGAGAAATTAGCTTGCCTTTATTACGACAATTTCAAAGCTGGGGTCATGCAATTTCCTCAATGAATCCTAGTTTAAATTCAATAATATTTTTTTGGACAAGAGCTGCTCTTCGACGCGAAATGAAAAAAGTTAGGAACAAAATGCTTTCACGAAAAGAGGGTTAGCCATTGATGTTAGCCATGTAGGAATTTATGTTTATGTAGAATTTTTTAGATATAAATTTTACGTCCAACTAGTAAAAATTTTTGGAATACACCCTCGGCAGAAGGCTGTTATTATAGTGGTTGTCTTTCTTTCATTTTTTCATCAATTAAAGTTAATTTAGTCTAATCATGCAACCTTTATTTTAGTTGTGCCAGGGTTTGAAAGTCATAACATTGCTTATCATTACATGGTAAACGTCATGATATCTTTCCGAATCTTTCGTGTTAGAACAGTATTGTTAGTGTATTGAATC